GGATGGGGCGACATACTCCAAGTATAAGCAAAGAAGGAATGTCAACAATATCAAAACTTCTCATGCTTGATCCTAGGGACTAAATGCTTTGGCTGAATAGAAAGGAATGGACAAGAATGAGACTGCACTTAAGAGTCAAGACAGTACCTTATTCACCATTCCATCTCTATTTATTTCCTTCCCATTCTAACCCATTGCCCCTTATCACAGGCCTCAAGGTAGTCCATACAACCAGTGCAAGATAATGAAGAACAAGAAAAGAAAAACTAATCCAGAGAACCTGATAATGAAGAACAAGACAAAGAAAGTACAACCTCTATTTTTAATATTTCCAAGGTGTGTCTTTAATTTCCAAGAGGAAACATTATTGGATTTACGGGCCAAACCTAAAAAATCAAACTGTTGACAAATAGTTATTCTAAGGCTTTTATCAGATTATATCAATGTTTTATTAAACCCCTATGGAAACAAGCACCTTATACTTTATAATATCTGCATAGGCACTTAGATTAAGCATCTCTTGCCAAAAGGCTAAACAATTATTTCAATCCACTTGGCACAGAAATTTTATCTTCACTATCTTACCTCTGGAAGATACCGTCTTCTAAGTGCAGTAGTTGCAGTAATAGAGGAGAAAACTTTTACTAAATGGAAGACTTTTGGGCTAGTGAAACTAAGTTCAAAATATCCACACAAAGGCTCCATGCGCCAAAACGATATTGAACCAGTCATTCAATGCCCATTCTCACGCTTGATGTTAAAACATTAAACATAGACAACCAGATGGGGATTATTGTGATAAACACGAGAATTTACCAATTTATTGGCAGCTTTACTTGCAATTTCTTTTGATGAATTGCTGGAACTCTGATTGAGATTCCTTATGGTATCTATACCTGTGGCAATAAGCTCATTTGAATTACACAGCAACTAATGTCATTAAAAGAAAGTTGCTTGTATATATAAATAGAGTATGTGTACCATTTTTGAGAGTGAGAGATGGATTTGTTGAAGAAGAAGCACCCTGATACTCTTTTTGTTTCAGTTGTCCAGCAATGACTGAACAAGACGGATATTTTTCTCCAGGACTGCTATGATCAGCTGGTTCCAGTTGATTGGAATCCTTTAATGCACACTTTTCTGATCCTATAACCATAGACATAATTTCATGGGAGTTTGAGACACCCCAACTTGGATTCGGCGAAATAATTTTTTGGCGTTTCTTATCTGGTTCTTGTAGTTCTCGCAAATTATCATTAGTAGTTTCTCTAGATGCCCTCACCACCAAATTCCTTTTACTGGCAACATTTACATCCCTACACGAAGCTGAAGTTAACTTTTTGGTATTCTGTAATTTCTCAAGATTTAATTGATTCTCGCGAATCGCGATCATTTGGCGCAAGTCATGAAGTTTACTAGAGTTCAGATGTACATTTGCTCTTTTCCCATGGTCAAGATTAGCTACCTTATTTGGATTGTTTAACTTTGTAAAACTATGCAAGCGGGCAGCATTTCCATAAGTGCCTCCATTAGGTTTGGTCAATAAAGAAGAAACATTCTGACTTACAGCCCCTTTGCTTGGCATCAACTTTGCCTCATTTCTAGTAATCTTTTGCAATTTCTGAGGTCTTCGAGGAGCAGGTGCTGGTGGTTTAATAAATTTATCCTCAGCCAAGGTTCTGTTTTTACTTGCTGAAATCTTCTTCCGTCCAGAATTTTCACAGTCACTGCCACTTTCATCTGAGAAGCTTATCAGAAATGGTACAAAATGCTCTCGATTCTTTTTAGAACTCTTCAGATGAGCTGATTCATGAGGTGCACTAGAAGGCACATCAATTGAGTAACCCATTTTGCTGGAAGAAGTATTTTTTTCTGCAAAGCATGCAGGAAAAAAAAATATAGCAAATAAGTCACGGGGAAGTCAGATAAGCAAGAAATGTAATTAAAGACCCAACAAATTAAGTAGCAAGTTCCATAGATTAAATGGAATGTAGAACTAGAAGAATATGAGTTATAACCTCTTATCTAGTTACCTTTCCTTAATGCATACGGGGGTGGGAGGACTATGAACCAAGGAAGGAGAAGAGTTGTACCAAAAGAATAACTTGTTATATATTTTTTAACCTTATTTTTTATCATATGGTTTTGTAATACCACATGCCAAAAAAAACACCGTTGCCAAGTGTATTCAATATAATAATAAAATTTATTCAAAAAAACACCAGAGTAAATTCAATCAATTAACAGCCACGCATGGAAAGTAAGCTTAACAACAATGTGCATATATGCTGATGGGATGGTTTGATCAAAAAACTGTCACCAGTCATTCCTAGTAGGTAGATGAAACCCCGAGGGTTCAAAATACATATAAATGTTTTAATACTCGAGCTTAACAACATACCTGCCTGGGTATCCTGAGAATTCTCATTCACTGTATCAACATGAACCTGCCACTCCAGTGGAACAGCAACACTGCTCGTAAGCTGATCGGTGGAACAAACATTTCGATCCTGTCGAAAACAATTCTCAATCAACTCAATACTACTGTAGTTTGATAACCCGGAATAGCTTCTATTTTCCCCATAAAAAATTTTATACACTCACCATTGTAGAAACACAATAAAAAATAAAGTTCACACTTCACAGGCACTCAAAGCAACGCAAAGGTGAAAGAAAAGACACGAGGAAAGACATTTTACTTCGCACCAAGGCAATAACAACTAAATTCAGGAGGATTTTAAAGCAACACAAAGGTGAAAGAACAGAATATAGGGGGAAAACCTTCACATCTAAAACTTATTTTGAACTTTAAATTAAGTCTGATGCTTCTCTAGAATCTTCTCATTTTGTTTAGAGATTCATACAAAATGTAGAAAATCTCTAAAACCTAACTAATCGCTTTTGTATAAACGTGTTGTCCAGGTCAACTTCCGAACACCTACTAATTTCACAGGTATTTGCTACCTCTCACCAGCACAAGTACCGGATATAAACCCTAATTAATCTTATACGACACATTATTGAGTATCAGAAAATAAATTGGGATTGAGGTATAGTTTCTCCTTGTAGGAAAACATTAAAATGCAAATAAAAAACAGTAGTAAATGAAACTATGCAAGTATACATCTGGAAAATGATGAATTTAAAGTTTAAAACATAGAGCTAGCAAAATTGAGCTGCTATTTCGAGCAAATGAAGTTAAATCAAAAGTGATGAATAGAAATAGAGGTAAATGAGAGATGTTTACATCGTTATCAGATGCAGTAAGTTCTCCTTCTTCTTTGCTTCCTGAGGAATAATTGTTGTTCAGAAACGAAGATTCTCCTCTTCCTCCTCGTTCCTCAGTAGGTTTTTTTACCGAATGCTCTACGACCTGTTTCTTCTCTTCGTCGATATTCACCATTCGAGCCCAATCTCTCTTTCTTTCTCGCGCGCGCGCGCTCTAGCTTTCTCTCTCTTGTTGCAATGGCGAAATTCTGAAAAGGGAATTTTTGGTGATGAAATTTTTGAGTCCTATTTAACAAAAAGTAAACAAAATGGCTCTTTCTCGGGATACACTATTTTGGTCACTAATATACAAATAAATAAAAATAAGAACAAATAATACTAGTCATATTACTTTTTACATTTAGTAAGTATATTTTTTAATTTACTTGACTCCTAAATTTAAAATAAATATTTCATATTATTTGTTTGTTTGAGGAAATGGAGCGAATTTTTTTCTCATACTATTCTTAGTATCGTTTTTGTTATAATTTATGTGACACAATTTTAATTTAGTACAAAATTTAAAAAAAAAAAATTAAAAAATATGTGGTATAAAATAACTCGTACATATTTATGTGTTTACCAATTATTTCACTAAAAATAAAAGAAAATTCTTTTTAAAGCATACTAAAAAAAAAGATACACATAAATTAAAACAAATGGTGTATTGAAAAATTACATAAAATAGTAATTCTAGAGTAATAGTAATCAAATTTAAAGTTCGGAGTATCATTAAAAGGGTCAATTTACCTTTTTAAAATGCATATTTAGTTAAAACTTTCTTGGGAGGTATATCGAGCGAATATGGATCAGCTAATATGAAATAGAGGAATAGTTTACTAAATAAATTTACGATCATAAGATTTAATAATATTTTACTTTCTCCGTTCCTATTTATATGTCGTACTTGTTAAAAATAGATATTCATTAATACTTGTCATATCACAAACCAATGCATAAATAAGACTATTCTTTCAATTTTACCTTTGAAAGTGATTAGTCATGAAAATATACATTTGACCAATATTAAAAGACTAACTTGATTAATTCATATTCATCTTACACTCTAAATAAAGGTATATTAGTAAATTACTTAATTTCTCGTAGAGACGTAAAATCAAATAAATAGGAACAAAAGAAGTAATATGTTACACACTTTGATGTAAAGAGATATGATTGAAATTTCCTTAAGAGGTTTGAAAGGTCCATACTCCATAGAGTAATGACGAAGCACTCTTGTTCATGCTTTCTTTTTATTCCAAAAATATTAATAATATTATATTCCAAAATAGTTGTCTTTTAAGATTTTAACAAGAAATCGATTTTATTCTTTAAATTTTACCCTTACTTACTTAATCAAGCACCCATCAATTAGCTTCTTTTTTTATTATAGATATAAATAAGTAGAAACACTTACTAATTTTCAACAAATGAAAATGTTCTTCAACAAATTAATAACAACTCTAAGTTTGAAACACAAAAAATGTGAGAAATTCAATCATTGGTGGCTGCCCTTGTGTAATTCCCCTTAATAAGGCAAAGCCATTTTCAATGTATTGATGAATTTGGTGTTCCTCTATGAATTAAGCCTTGCTAAAATGGGTTAAAGTTCTTCATTCGTTGGAAAAGCAAAACAAATTCATAGATGCAGGAAAAGATCAAACTTTGGTTCAAAACAACCAATTAGACAGTTCCTCATTATCAAGAGATGAAAAGAACCAATTTTGAAGCAATTGAAACACAGAAATAAGATATTTCATAGATTCAGAAACATAACCAATTACATCAACAAAACTAAAATACTACTAATACCCAATAACCCAGATCTAAAGTCTTAACCACCGAAACCATAGAGAGTCCTTCCTTGTCTCTTCAAAGCATAAACAACATCCATAGCAGTAACAGTCTTCCTCCTAGCATGCTCTGTGTAGGTAACAGAATCACGAATCACATTTTCCAAAAAGATCTTAAGAACACCTCTTGTCTCTTCATAAATCAACCCACTGATTCTCTTCACTCCACCTCTTCTCGCCAACCTCCTAATAGCAGGCTTGGTAATCCCCTGGATGTTGTCACGAAGCACCTTGCGATGACGTTTTGCTCCACCCTTTCCTAATCCCTTGCCACCCTTTCCACGGCCAGACATTTTTGAGAAGTTTTGAGAGATAATTCAGAAAGAAAATGAGAGATTTGATGATGGAGAAGTGAGCTGAGCTAGGGTTTATATAAAGGGGGAAATTTTTTGGAGGGGGTTGAAACTTTTTGAGCGGAAGATATTGGCGGTTGATGAATTTCTGTGAAATTTGAAATGGACGGCTAAAGATCGCGATCCGCGTGATTGCTTATGGGTTATTGTGGACTGTTGATTAAGTGGAATTCAACGGATGGTAATTGTTTTGTTCTCACATGGATCGATGACGTGGATTGTGCTTACCAGCTCAGATTAATTTATGATTAGTCAAATTTGATACTACCTTCGTCCCTAATTACTTGTCCATTATGACAAATTCAAAAAGAACAAAACAAATTTACCTATTATATCTTCAGTTAATTACTTTGAAAAAAAAAAAAATTCTTTAAAATCTTAAATTTTTTAATTCATCAACTTTATAATTAATAGAGATAAAAATGGTAAACTCACTATGTCAAAAATTATTTTCTTAATAGATGTTAATTCAAAAGTGAACAAGTAATTAAGTACAGAGAAGTAGGTTAAACGAGTAGTAATGTTTCGAATTCACTTTCTTTCTTTTAAAAAAAACAAGTGATTGTTATGATCAAGAAAAAAGAGAAAAGACATAAAATCACCACTAAAGTTGTCATGTATTTGCCTGAAGACACATTAACTTTGGAAGTGTCCTAGCACCCCATAGAACTATTTAATATCTTTGTAAATGGGTCAAAATGACCCATTTCCTCGTCTTCGTTGTTACCACGCACATGAGGTACGTGACCCAGTCTTTTCACTGCCATTAACCAGTTTTAAAGTGCCATGTGTCATTTTATTTCTTTATTATTAATTATTTAATTAATTTACACCATCTTCCCCATTATCTTCTTCACCCAAACTCAAAATCCAATTATCTTTTCTTCATCTTCTTCAACTTAGAAGATCATCTACTTCATTCATTTTTATCACTTTTTTTCTTGTCTCTTGCTTTTCTTTGTTTCTTTTTCTTCTTTTATCCTCTTAAAAAAAACAAATGTGAACTCCATTGATTAGAGAGTACTATGAAACTCCTTTTTTTTTGTCTCATTACCTTGCTTTAGTAACTTGAGAGTTGAATTTATTTTTTTAGTGATGTTTTAGTAGCGGAAATAGTGTTTTAACAGGGAAGCATCATGGAGGCTAGTTGAAGGTGACAATGACTGCTACTTTTGGAGGATTTACAACAAAGAAAAAAGGATTTGAGTTATGAAGATTTAAGAAGAAAGAGGGAAAAAATGAAAATGAAAATGAAAATGAAACTAACAATTAAAAATTAAAAGAATTTAATACGTGTCAAACAACAATTGGTGCGTGATTGCACCTCTTTTCTTACAATTGAGGTTGGGTGAAAAGTGGATATTTATAACACTCTTAAATTGTTCAATGGGGAAATAGGACAGTTAAGATGTCTTTTTGAAAATTCGAAACAACTTCAGTGGTGACTTTATGTCTTTTCTCCAAGAAAAAATGATGTGTAACAACTAAAATTATACTCATTATTCATCGAGAGCATGACCTTAGATATAAGATTATGTAGTTTGAGGAGAGTAAAAAATTAGTAATAAATAGATAGTTGAATATTATTTTTTTCTTAACAATATTGTTATTATTACTATCGTATTAGATTATTCTTTATTCTAGTATTAGTTGTAATTTCCTTCGATTCGGCTACTGTTTTATATGTTGTTTCTACTATTCTCTTTTTATTTGTTTTTAGCATGATTTTTTTATTATCTTGTGTTGTTAATGTATTTTTCACCATTGTTTCCAACATGATTTCTTTACTATTTGTTTCCTTTTTTATATCTGATGAGATATGTTTTACTTAAATAGAGGGGTATTGGGATTCACTGTCTCTAGCTCCACAAGATAGGAATAAGATTGTGTACTCATTTTCCTATCTAAACTCCATTTGTGAAATTACAATGATATATATTGTTGTTATTTTTAGTTCTGAATCTTAATGATTCAAATCTTAATTATTAAATATGTTTTTTTATATTAATTATTCAAATTTATTTAAACTTGTAAAGTGATTGTAAAATAGAAGGATCAAAGGGTTATACTAATCACAATTAACCTCTTGATAGTGTGAATTCGTATGTGTTGGTCCATCGGATGCAACGTCAATCCTACAAGAATACTACAAGTCTCTCAAGTTATGCGACGGACCATCACACCCATGAGGTTGTGATTTGTGACAGACCGTCAAATGCTGGCTCCGAATTTCTACTTTTTGTTATTATATTTCAAATTTCCAAGAACTATAAATATTATTTTAGGATTTTATTTTATCTTCTTTGTTTTATTGATGAAGATGATATCACTTGAACAAGAATTTTCATCGGCTTATTCAAATCAAAGTATTGATTGTCTTTAACTCTTGTAAATAATTACTTCTTGAATGAATGCAAGTCTATTCCTTGTTTCATTAATCACGAGTGACTAAACTTCACAACCAAGGATTGTGGAATCCATGATGATTTGACCTAAAACTAGAGTTTTTACGGAATAAATCGCGTGTTGTATCAATATACCTTATAATCTCTTTCATTTTAATTGACCTCTAATAATTGCAAACATTAAAACTTGCCTTAAGTATAGCTTGTTTGAGTAAAAAGGCTAAAACCTAAAAGAAGAGTTAATAACAATAATTCGAGGATCTAAACTCGTCCAATAGTTAATGTCATAGCAAGATTAACCAACTTGAGAATCTATCTATCGAAATGATGATGAACACTTTTAGTTTGAATGAATATAAGTGATATACATTTGATTTGGTTGAGAAGCGATTTAGTGTAGGTTAAATTTGATAGACATACTAACAACGCAAGATGAAGTTCTGTAATTAACGCGAGAATGATCAAACAGTCTTGGTGAACACAATCTTGATTAATTCTCTTTGATTGATTCTAACTAAATGATATTGTTAATTGTTATTTATCGAAAAGTGAACTTTAGACCAAAATCAAAATTTCTCATATTTCCCATTATGTTTCGGAAATAAGTAACTAAAGTAAATAACCGCATACGACTTAGTTTACGTATTATTCCCCGTGGAATTCGACCTCAACGTAGTTGTGTTCTATATTTGACAACCGCCGCTTTATACTTCTTAATTGAGGTGTAAATTTGGGCCTATCATGTATACGAATAATATCAAAATATGATGTATTAGTAATGTTGGAATTAGAAATACTTATATTAATTATATTGACGTTCGTTATGTTGAGATTGTTTCATAATGTAATGTTTGATAATTGGCTCATTGAAAATAACATGCATTACATAATTTCTAAAAAAAAAATTGCTACAAAAATACGGTGGAAAGGATGTGAAAAAAATTTGAGGAACAATTGTGTCTTTATTCATACTAATGCATATCCTAAAAAACATTAATGTTGTAAATTGTTATGTATTAATTATACATAGCACAATACCTTAAAGTATATCAAATAAAATATTAGTAATACATAAAGTTAATACATACATTATTGTAATACATCTTACCAAATGACCCCTATAACTATGAATAGAGAAATAATATTTTTATTGAGTGATTCATTAATGACTTGATGAACATCATAGCCAGAAAATCGTGTTGGAGTTTGTTACAACTTGAGAGCTTAAACAACAATTGTGATGAAAATTAGATGGGATATAAGTGAGGGAAAATAGTTTTACTTCTTCTAATTCTAAATTAACATTTTCCTAATCACGCGCGTCATAACAATCGTTATTCACACGTCTCTCAAATTACACATCCCAATTTGTAACTGTCATATTGAATATGAATTCCCTAGATTTGATTGGTCTACGAAATTTATTGTATTGGGTCACCGATGATGAACTGGACATCTGAGTCTGTCTCGTACTAATGTAGCTAGTCAAAATAAATTGAAAGTAAGTCTGAAATTAGTTTTCTTGGCAATACCTTGATTTACCCAATAATATAGTCCTTACTGACTTGAATCTAACTAGATTTGTTCTGTCACACATTTATCCTCTGAGTCATCCACACATCTAGACCATATTTTACCAAAGCAACTAGATACTACAAGCAACTATAATCATTAGCCAACATCATCATGCATAACCAACATCCACACGACTTCATCATTGTCAAATACTCCTAAATTAAAGCACGAGAAAATTCCATGAATTGTTAATGGTGCTAAAAACTCCAACATTTTTTCACTTTAAGATATGAAAGTTTAAGTTTCATGAATTGATTTTATTTTTTAAAAAAATTATGGATTGTTATGGAATTTGCAACGTCAATACCACAACACATTGTCAATGCTCCTAACTCGTTGTTTCATGTTTATTCAAATATTATTTTCGTATTAACAATACATATATTTAATTATATTCGAAACAACTGATAAACTTTGATTGATGATTCCAAAAAGGGCAAGTTACATTTGACCGATCGACTAAAAATAATTACATTCGCTAGCCAAATATATAAAAATATAAAAAATTGTATATATCCTAAATTAATGTACAAAAAATTATATTTGTTGGACGACTATTTTATACCAATTTCTCTTTAAAAAAATGAAGGCACGCCCACCGTGGGGCTCGAACCCACGACCACAAGGTTAAGAGCCTTGCGCTCTACCAACTGAGCTAGACGGGCTTTTATCTTTTATACCCACGTAATCGATACTAGACTTGAGGCATCTTGTAAGCTTCGATTTTACGAAGTTGTCCACAATTTGACACATACAGATAAAAGAAACACATATACGAAAGATATTCGATAATCATATATTAAAATTGACATCAAAATGCATTTATATATAGCACAAAGTCATGCTGCAAATGTAATAAGATAGTGAGTGGAAAGACTGAGTATAATGAAAACATAAAAAGTCTCTAGTGTGTCCATCACTCAAAACCAATAATAGCTCATTTCTTTCGGGAGATACCGAGCCTGCTACGGAAATCGTCCTCCATAAGGGGAATACCATCGCTCAATTTGATCGTTGGTTCCCATCC